CCTACACAGAAAAGAAGGTTTTCACTGACCAAACAGAACTTAAGAATAGTTGAATCTGGGTAATCAGTCATCATACTATTCACTGATATACATATTTATAAAAGACACACAGAGAAAGCTCATCAATCAAGTGATTCCATAAATTAGCTGAGACCATGATAACCAGGTGTCATCCAAAGATGAATCACCATTCAAGTAATAAGGGTGTCAACAACTTTGTCCTTAATTGAGCCTTTTACAAACATCCAATGTGGCCTCATTACTAGGTAGTAACCTAGTATTCAGGAAAAGGAAAAGGAATTCAAGACGGATGAAGTTGCCACACACAGTCTAATAGCCAGAATTCTGCTTGTGGTAAAGGGCTCCACTTTCTTAGATCTGTAAGAAGGATCAAACGAAGCAAGAGATCCAAACTTGTGATGAATGGTGAACTGAAGTGAGATACCGGAAACAGGATGGTGACAGAAATGACACAAGGGCCTACAGGAGCCCAACTTCAACAGGTGCTACACAGGAATGCTGGGAAAGAGCAACAGATGGACCAAATGGACATGCACCCATCAGGAGGAAGTAGGTGACTCTGAACAATGGGGCTGGATGGGTTATGAGGCAGAGAGCCATCGTGGCATACAGTGACAGGTCCTGCAAACTGTGGCTATAGCCACAAATCAAAGGAGAGTCTTCAAATGTACACAGTGTGAAAAGAACTCCTGCTACACATCACTGACTCTAGGCACATCCACACCCCTGGAGAGGAGTGCAGTTTGTACTGTCAACTACTTATTAAGAGCTAACGATGACAGCTGTTTGATAACACCTTACATTAATGAAAGTAACTGTTTTACTGGAAATGGATTAAAAACGTAAATGACTATTTCAGTGATTTTTGGCCTAAAGAATTGTATATTTTGAAAACACCAGTTAGTTGTAATGAGAAAACTTTTTTCTCCTACTGTAGGATGGGCAGTTGTTACCACAGCGCTTCCATGATGGTAATTATGCTTTGTTAAGACTCCTATTTGCTTTTTTTTTTTTTTTTTAAGACAAAGTTTCACTTTACCACCCATGCAGTGCATGATCTCGGCTCACTGCAGTCTCTACCCCCTGGGGTCAAGTGATTCTCATGTCTCAGCCTTCTGAGTAGCTGGGATTACAGGCATGCCCCACCACACCTGGCTAATTTTTGTATTTTTAGTGGAGATGGGGTTTCACCCTGTCAGACAGGCTGGTCTTGAACTCCTGACCTCAAGGGATCTATGTGCCTCTGCCTTCCAAAGTGCTGGGATTACAGGTATGAGCCACCATGACCAGACTTCCATTTGTTTTTAAACTATTAGTAACTCTCCATTACACTGAGTTTGCTACTAAGTTTCCTTACATAGCATCAGAGATAATATTTAGTTTTAAACACAGGACAAAATTAGAAAGTTGCTCAAAAGGTCAACACTAGGATGTCAACACATCGGCTTGGAGAAAGAAAACAATGAATTCTGGAAGCTTTTTACAAGCAAGAGTTGTAAAACAATGCAAGATGCTTAGGATGATTATGAGCTTGGTAAGAAAAATGTGGTTACAGCCAAAACTTGAAGGTTTTTAAGAAAAAGAAAATAAAATAACTTTTAGATTTTAAAAATGTATTTATCCTGGGTCTCACTTTTTTCTGGGTTTCACTGAGTTGTTTTTATGTTTTGTTTTGTTTTTAGATAAAACATGCATTTATGTTGGGTTTCACTAATTTTTCCTGATAGTTATTGTATTATGAAAGATAAATGGGCCTAAATTATAGCATAACAAGATTCATATAAAGGGTGGGAAATAGCATTTTGACTCTGAGGCATTCAAATCTCTTGAACATGGCTAGTTCACAAAGAGAAGCAGGAGGAACTCAGGTAAACAGAAGGCATTCAATAAATATTTGCTGAATGAAGAAACAGCTTAGACACAATTCAAAAGTATTACACAGACTGGGTCATGATTTCTCAATGGAAACTAATGAGCCTTTAAATCCTGGCTTTCCCAGGTGCTCCAGACTGAAGAACCATTAATCTTGGACTACTTTTGCTTTCTTTTGTCTTTGAGAGCAGCTGGCCTGTCTGACTTTTCTCCACTCAAAAAGGTCAGAAACAAACAAACAAAACTAATAACAACAACAACAACAAAAACACCCTGTTGTTAGTTTACCTTATTTCTTCCCTTGACCAGGTCACCAGAAGTTTAATCCCCTCGTCCAGCAACTCCATGTTTCTTTACATTAAAGAGGACACAGAAGCTGTCCCTGCCAGGTTAGCCCTTGGGAACAGGGCAGAATGTGCACTGCCTTGGCATGGGAGGCATGTGACATGGTATTCAAGGAATCATGTGCCACCATAAAACAACGTAAGTCTAAGTGCTGGTGTTAGATGCACTATATCTGAGGAAGCCAGAAGTATGCTATGGGGGTATTTTTTTTTAAGAATATGTCAAAAAAGAATGTTGTCTACAGAAAAGAAAAGGTTGAAAATATGTGTGTGGAAGACACACAGTTTTGTAAATATGACATGGTTTTGTAGATAGGATACAGTTTTGGTCAGGTTATATAACTGATACTATTTGTGAGTTCTTGGATGTTAGTTATAGGATATTAGATATGGATAAATTTGGGTTTCAACAGAGTTGGACAATAAACACATTCCCTACCAAGCTACTGAGAGCCACAGCAATTCTAATGTAAAAATAAGAGAGAATAATTATTCAAATATAGGGTCTTTCTTGAGGACCATGCACTCATAAATGAAGAGATTCCCATACAAACAGATCATCAGCATAATAAATAATTTAAAATCATTTAAGACCATTTCATGTACCATTTGTCCCAGTAAAAATGATGGCGCCTAGGTAATCTTTTGAAGTGTCTTCTAGTCTTAAAGGTTTCTGATATCATTCAATATTAAAAGGGCTAGTCTCCAAAAGGATGTCTGCGTCTTACAGAGAACACAAATGAGTCCTAATAAGCTATATCTATGGCTTTTTGGCCAGACCCACACCAGTAAAATTAAGCAGAAACTTAAATAATATACTTATTAAGGAAATGAACCAAAGCACTTTGGGCTAAATTATCAACTGGACATTTATTTCCTTTGATCTCAATATGATGCTGAATTTCTCTAATATTTGTTGTATATAGAGACAACATAACTATAAATACAAGTACTATCTCAATTTGTGAAATCTCAGAGGCAAGATGAAACCCATATTAATGTTATGATTTGAATTGAAGAACTGCTTTCTAAGAAATGACATTATTTCATTTTATCAAAAAGAAATTACAAACTACAGGGTAATGCTGACGGGAACTCTGTTTATGCATTAATATTTACACAGATTAACAGCAGTGATACTGAACCAATACTTAGTACAGTCAAGTGTCAAATTCAGGTGAGAAAGATCACTTATTAAAACCATTATCATATCACTTGGCAGATGAACTGCATATAGTGAGGTGCCGGTATTCTCCTAATTTTATTTATTTATTTAAAGATTTAGTTTCTCCAGTGGACAATAAACAGATTTTCTTTGTCTTGCTCATGGGAAGAATGTAAAAGTTCATATGAAACATTTAGCTTAGCTTAAAGAAGCTAATGAGCCTAAAACACTTAGAAAGATAATGCTTCCTGAATCACTGGTAAAGCTAAATGGCATATCTATTTATTTGGCTAAAAAAAAAGAATATTTTTATCTAATTTGACTGGTATCAATGATTCATAAAACTACTTCAGTTCAAATTTTAGCTTAAGTGCAAAGAGTGAGATGAATAGACCTACTAAATAAAATTCTTGACACAGCTATCTACCTTTCCACTGTAAAAAATAATGGCTGACTACCTCTAGCAGAGTTAGGTCAGTGTGCTTAGTTGTATAAATAGAGTACACTTTAACAGCATTAGCTGTTCTATTCAAACAAAAAGGAAAAAAGTCAGCAGAGTTGACTGGCAGGTTGTGATCTACAACCATTTTTATTTCCTAAATTGACTGTATGTCTCCTTGACCTGAGAATTTCCAAGTCCTTTATTCTGTAACATGAATACAACTTTTCAAGATTTTATCGTATTAATGCTACCTTTAGAATTAAAGCTTACGTTGATACTATTAGGTAAGTAATCTTTTCAGATAGGTTTAATTAATTTATGGATCACTGCTCTCAATTCATATTTTTTCCTTTAATATTTCTATTTCAAATATCCCACTGTTACTGCTCTTTGTCAGCATGTCTTCTAGACAATTGGTCTATAGAGATTGTAGTTACATACAATAAATTACAAAAATAACATAAAACTGCAAATGCAATTGATATAAAAGTAATGCTTCTAAAACAGTGATGTGGTCAAAGGAGGTGAGCTAACTGCAAACGTGTGCTCAGTATGTGTGTGCAGGGGCAGTAAGAAGACGTCTGGAAAAACACTGCCAATGACTCATACATGTAGCTAAAAGAACCTTGGTAACCAAAGTGAATGGAGGTCAAGAATATCTTTGGAATGTACACAAAAAACTAGGATAAAAAGGTGGCCAAATACAAAATTCTGTTGATACTTATTTGAGATGACTAAATGTTAAAAAGTTATTTTTATACTGTATCCTTGAATATAAATTGTTTTCCAGATAGCTTTTATGAATGTACCCAATGTGTATACATTTTATATTACTTTTTGACTGACAAATTTACAATTTATGTTTCTATAACTAGTAACTCATTATTAGTTGTCATTACTGCAATGTGCTAGAATACATATCTACAGTTTCAAATATACAAAAGAATATGTGAGAAAATGACAAAATCAACATACATCTTGAAATAATTATTTAGTCATAAAATCTTTTTTATTAATGAATAAAATATTTTTGTGTTTTAGCATAGGCCTACTTCCTAACCTTATTAGTTATTTGAAGCACATTTTTGATATATATATACAGATATATATGAAGCTTTCTCTGAGTTAGGATTTTCCATTTCTGGTTAAATCATACCTTTCACATCTTCATCCTCAATTGTTGTATTTGAACTCTCAGTTGACTCCTGATGAGAAGAAAACACATTTTTAGGTTGCATGCAATGAAAGCTTGATTTCGTCTTTAAAAATTGGCTAGTAACATACATATCATGCAAAATTTTTCAGCAGGCTATGTGCATATGCTGACATGCAAATGGACAAAAACATTAAGTGGTTTTTAACAGAAACAAAATGTCTGATGCTGCAAACATTTCAAACAGGGAGTACTCTGGTTGCCTAATCTCCAAACCTGTATAAATCCAGGTGATTTATGGGACCAGAAGAAGTATGCAGTTTATTTTAAAAACTGTGTAAGGATGTCTTTGTGTTACAGTGCCCTATAAGGTGTGCGTTTTCTGTGTGTTTACAAGCAATTGAATATACTAGCTGCATGAATTTGAAAGTTAGAACAATTTTTTATTTCCAATTAATTAATCAATAAAGAGTACCTTATTTTTGTCAGGCACTATGTTAAGGCCTATGCCTTACTCCTTTATAGGAAGAGAAAGCATTTCACCACATCATTTGATGAAGAACTAAGGGGATTAAGCTGAGATATGCTGAAAGTACTTTTGAGAAGAATTTTCATGTCTGTCATCAGCACAGTGGAATTATAATGAATAATTTACTTTTGATGACAATTAGATGTTTTTTCATTCTCTACAATATTAGAAACTGGCTGTTATTGATAAGAAACCTACTTCCATAATAAAAAGACAAAGCTCTTTCTTTGTAAAACTACAAATTAGCTGGAAAATTGTCAAGCACACTTAAAAGTACACTGTAACTGCCAAAATTAAGATATATTTCTTAAAATGGTATGATAAATGTGTTTATTAATAATGTATGGATAAAAAATATTCTAGCAAATAGATTTTGCAATATTGATAAGAAAGACATAGTTTTCTACTTGGAATGATTTAATGCTAGAATCAAAAATAACTGGAAACCGACTTCCAATCAATAGCTCAATAATGCAAAACACATTCTGGAAAATAATGCAAACACCAGTCAGTGTCATTTTAGAGATTCAATATTCAAAAAAGTGATCAATTTATGTAAACATCATATACAATAATTAAACCACGAGAAAAACTAATTAAAAGATGTACCCAGAGTCTCCATACACACAAAACCATAGAAAGCAGTCTTCATGCATTTCTTATTGTGACCTCGTATTCAAATTTAAACTGAGAACGAAGGTAAACTCATGCACTGTAAAATTAAACTAATTCATGTAAGCAAGAAATATCATGCAGGAACTCTTACAAATGATATAGCTAGAATTACTGAAGTGTCCATTCCAGCTGTTACACTCTGCATGTCATTTTCTAATGCTATTAAAAAAATTGTTCTCAAATGTTATGGTCCTAACTATCTCAAGGCTTTTTGGGACTTAGATCATTTTCAGTGTCATAACTATAAAATAAATCTTATATTAAAGAACATAACACTTCATGTTTTTTATTTTAATGGCTTTAATGTTGATCAACTAAATGTTAACCAGAGAGAAAATGTGTTTTCTAAGTCTGAGGATAAAATGTGCTTTCTAAGTCTTAAACATCATTGATAGGAGTATGGCGAAGATCCATGACTATACCTAATATTGGAGAAAAGTTTAGTACAGTATATTTTTCTCCCCTTGGAGACATAATAATGTACAAAAAGTAATAAATCGGACACATGGAATACATTCAGAAAAGGTCTTTTATCCAATAGACATGTATGCTAGTGCTGTTATTTAGTTAACATGCTATACAAATAATTTAAAATGTATAGAAAACATTTAGTCTTCTTTCAGTATCAGTAGTTAAACTCCTGTTACTGGAATGTATACTACTCAACGACAAACATATTTCACAAAAAGCGAAACTCACTTATTGTCTTCAAATTCATGCCACACAACAACAACGACAACGACAACATCATCATCACCAACAGGGAATTAAGAAACAAACAAACAAAAGAACCCACAAAAACCACTCTGACAATGGAATAGAATAAAACTCAGATGTAACACTAAATTAAAAAAAAAAATCTATGAAGTCAAGTTGATATTTTTGAAGACAATGGAATGATGTAGCCAGAAATTCTACAATATCATGCACAATATATCCACAGTACAAAGCACAAAGTCATGGGGAAAAAGTGACCAAATGGAATTGCTTAGACACACAGTCATCTTGACATAAAGACTTCCTTCATGTTCAGCCTGACTTTTATTGACTCATGGTAACATTTGTTTCTCTTTCAAATGTCATTCATTTTTATTTGCAAGAAGTATGTCCATAGTTCTAAACAAATTAGGCCCAAAAGGAAGTGTGGTAGAAAATGGCTAGAATTTTCTTTCCTATTTTTAGATAATGAATTAATTTTTTGAATATTTGATGAGATGTATAGTCTTGTTAAAGCAAGATGATGTTGATTCTTTCTGAATACCTTGTTTCCATCAGGGTTGTGGATTACAGTAGTTTGGGGCTCCTGAGTGAGAACAAAATAGAGAAAGAAACAGTTCGCATTGGTAAGTACATTCTTTCTAGTGTGAGGGACAGAGCAGAGTGAGCCAGCTGACAAAACAAAATAGTGACAAGAGCTAAAGCGATGTTAACTGCTGTCAGAGTTGTAGCTGACAATATCTCTGATGAAAGATCTCCCTGGCGAGCCCATGAGATAGGAACCTCCCTACCCAGAAGCAGCATGCAAAAGACCTTATTCTTCATCAGCATTCAAACAAGGCTTTGATAGAGACCTAAAGAGGCACTCACTGTTTCACCTAATCCTATGCTTTCCTTTCTTCTTTAATGAGTGGTCTGTGAATGCTTGTATCATAGAGAACTGGCCAAGAACAGTGGAGTTAAAACTCCGAGATGATTTCAACTTCTCGAAGAAGATATTTTTTAGTTGCATTGCTTTGAAAATTGATTATGGTATCATTAATATGTAACTGAATACCCTTGTAAAATCTAAAACCACTGGACAACACTTAAAAAAAAAAGACTATACTAAAGAATCCATTTCAAAAGTCCATAAAAAATTTTAAGGAACATTTTGAAAAGTTTACTTAAAGGGTTCTAGAACTAATCATGTAATCGCTGTAATTTAAGGCAGATTGCTGTCGAATCCTGTGTTGATTCATATCTAAAAGAAAACTTCTACTTTATGGACCACATACACAGGATATTTTTGGCTATAAAGTCATGCTTTTCCATGAAGAAAATATTTGTTTTTCTATTGTTTTCTCTTAGAAAGCGAAGAAATATTCCCAAGTGGAGAATAACACTCAAATAACTGATGTAAAAAAAAGATTCAATATGCATACATCAGCGACATGCTCAGCACTTTCATTATGTGATATCTTGGCAATGGGGAAGTACTGCAACCCACTGGGAGTTCTCAACCATGGGCACTCCCACACCACTATAGTCTACACTGCTGTAATATTAAGAGAGAACATATTAACTGCTTCCATTCTCCATTTCCCTTGGCTACAGCTGTGGTCAACATTGATATTTACTAGTAATCTGCTATCTTGATGTGTCCTTCCTTTAAATGTTTTTAAATGGAGTCCCACAGTTAATCCAAGTAAAATAATTCCCTAACATTTTAAAATTTATTTAAAATAACAGTATGAGAAAAGCAAATAATAGGAAAAGTTTCTGAAAATCATATATCAAAATATGAAATAGTTTAGGGAAAATGTTATGGAACTCAGAGAGCATTGAATGCCAGTATTCAAATTCTGAATTTTAACCTAATGCCATCCAAAGTGTTAGACTAATTTAATCATAAATTGTGTGGATTTGATTGAGATAGACATAACTGGTTTCTGCTGATAATTCAAAGTTCTATTCTTTGCAATTTCATTCTCTGGATTAAAGTGAAACAGTGAAAATTTAATTTAAATCACAATAAACAAAAAGCTCTAAATTATCCAGTGCCTCTTTATCTCAGAAAGTGAAATCTTACCAGGCCCTGTTGTATTTTAATAAGAGGGAAATGAGAACTCTGAATAAGGTCTACTTTTATGCTGTCTAGCAACAATCCCATTAGCTCTTCTTGATGTCAGCATTTGCAACATGAAAAGAAGAAACCATGTCTGTATAATCTAGAACTATCATCATCAGAAGAGCTAAGAGCAACCAAAGCGCTGTATTTTGAATGCAGCATGCAACAATTCCAACTACAGATATCACAGCTATCAGTACAATGTTCAACAATGAAATGAGATAATCTCATGTTAGACCACACTGCTTGACGACTAACTTAACCAAAAAAACCCCAAAAGAATGAACTTGTCATATTGTAGAAAGCAAAAAAAAAAAAAAACAAAAAAAAAACACAAAAAACCCCCACAAAACCCAACACCCCACGAAATAAAATATTTATATATATGTATATATATTGTGAAAGCAAATGAGAGAAACCACAAAAAAAGTAAAAAAAAAAAGAACTTAAGAAGGGTTACAAAGAGTCCAGGTATACCAGCGCCGGGGTAGGAATATTTTCTTTGGGGCTGGTTACCACGTTGGCTTTGTTGTTTATCTGTGGGTATGCAGAAAATAGAAACAGAGATGCCTTAAACCCCTTGGTAGCCAATGTTTCTACATGCAGCATGTCTACATGGAGATGTAGACACAAAGATAAAGAGCCACTGAAGATGAACGTGAAAGACATGGTAATGACTGACAGGAATGATGATCGCTAGTCTCCGATGGTCACAGACAGGCTGGACCATGTCCGTGATGGTGCAATGAGAAAACAGATGTGGCTGCTGTTGCTGTGCCACCTTAGCAAACAAAGAGCTGCTTCAGTGGAGCTCAACTTAGGTTTCAGAGTATGAAATGAATATAACAATTCTCATACTCTTCAAGCTGGATTCTGTTTCCAAGCTTCCAACTGTTCACTGTTATATTCCTTTTTTCCCCGTTTTATTCTTTAACCTGAAGTCACACATAGACCATCTTTCTCTGGCGAGCCATTATCACTTTTTTAGGAAGTATCCAATTAAAATTTAGATCTTCTGATACAATGCTGATGTCACAATAGCTTTTAAAAATGGTAAGTGTAGATCTCCTTTAAAAATTATATCTTCAATTATTAGTGGGGAAATCAAACTTTTTATGTTGAATGAAAAAGGACTTTAATTTTTACAGTTGTGTAAGAGGAAAATACTACATTTGCTGTCAAAGTGTTACTACTATCATTGCAGAATATATTTGGTAATATCATTCCCTTGCTTTAACATAACCAGGCTTGACTTTAAAGAAGATATGACTACCACTGTGGAGGCTGTGTGGTAAAAGCAACTCAGAGGATCAAAGAGTATTCTAATGGTCCACAGAGAAGACTCTTTGTAGACAAGTGGCAACAAGAAACTACAACTGAGTCGGGGCACTAAGAATCAAAGACCAAAAACTAATAATCAACATTCTTTTAAACTCATGCATGACAACTTACATTATGGTTATCAAAAAAATGTTAGGTAACATTCATTTTCTTACACTATATTATGTAGGTACTGTATTATTTTTTAAAGGAATACATCTCAGTGATTTTAATATAAATATACCTAAGGACTTAAAGAGAAACATACACTGTATAAAATAAATGAGTATCAAATGGGTATTTACAGGTGATGACACCAGTTTAATTGTTTGGGTTTTCTGGGAAGTCTATACTTGATACCTATATATCCTGTCAAAACTAGTATTGAGAGGAAGATAGAAGGCAACATAAATTAATTTAAATGTGTAATATTTTTGCTTTCTTTTCATCCCTATTTGTGTTTACTGGTATCGTTATTTTTACAATTAAGTTGTAACACTGTGCTGTGTGACCTGCAGGAAAGGATGAGAAAGCATCTAAACTTTCCTCTACTGGAAAATTCTGTAAATGTTGTCATCAATATATATTCTGCAGATAGTCAAAACATTTTTTTTCTTTAAATCAAAGTGCACAGAATTTTACATGATATTTGTACAAGAGCCAAAAAGAGATAAGAGGTAATAAAGTCTATTAAAGAGGGATCAAAATTCAGTACTTATATTAGTACAGGGTATGTAAGAAAAGGGGAGGGATGCACACACAAATAATTTTCTATTCAGGAAGCATATTGGGCAAAACATAGCTGGCTTCCTGTCAAATGAACGGGGCACTTATGGTTAATGCACCACATGTATTTAATATCCAATATTTAGTTTATATCAGTGAATGCAAATGAAAGAAACATTCTGAGATACATTTATTTCTGTTTTGAGATATGATACTTGTTTTTTTTTTTTTCTAGGATGTGGTTGCCAATAACTACTTTATTTTAGTGAAAATGTCCCACATGTACACCTATGCACACTAACTTATCTGTACAAGTGCACATGTGTCCCCCACCCACGCACACACCTACACACATTCACACATAGATACACAGCATACACACACCATCATCTCTTCCAGATGAAGGCCATTCTGTCTGGGTAAGCCATTCTTTATTGTTAGGTATGGGAAACACGAGTTAAATGAATATGTGCCTCAACCACACTTTTGGTCATGTTTAATGTGCAGTTAAAAACTTTTTTGTTAATGTAAAGATTAATTTAATGATTTATTTCCTATGGAAAATCTTTTGGAGGTATTTATAATATTAATTTATTGAAAAAGGAGAATTTCTAAGCAAAAGGCTAGAAGCAGTTCTTTTTAAAGAGTCAAATATCAAGTACGGGTTCAGCCATAGATTTCTTTAAAAAAAACTTTTTTTTGAGATGGGGTTTCACTCTTGTTGCCCAGGCTGGAGTGCAATGGAGAGATCTTGGCTCACTGAAATCTCCGCCTTCTGGGTTCAAGCAATTCTCCTGCTTCAGCCTGCCGAATAGCTGGGATTACAGGTATGGCCACCATGCCCAGCTAATTTGTTTCTTTTTTTTTTTTTTAGTAGAAATGGGGTTTTACCATGTTGGCCAGGCTGGTCTCGAACTCTTGAACTCAGGTGATCCATCTGCCTCAACCTCTCAAAGTGTTGGGATTGCAGGTGTGAGACACCATTCCCAGACCATAGATGTCTTTAACCATACAAGAACTCTGGTACTTTTGTGTGATACAATTATTTTATATTAATAGAAGCAGAGTATTTTTCTTTTTTTAAAAAATGTGAATCACATAATCAAATCAGGTAATTGTATGATGCACTGAATTACTTTTATGAGGCATGGGCAAGGTATTCCTATTTGTCAGGTGTTGAGTTTATTGTTTTGAGGTTAATAAATATTTCTTTTTAAGGTACTTAACTAGGATTAGTACATTGTAAGATCACATTTACACCTTTATAAACTCCATGGTGAATATATTATGATGTCCTATAAATCACACCTATTTTAGCAACCATGAAGAACATTTAAAAAATAATCATATAGTATTTTTTTTTACTTTATCATTATACATAAATTCTGTTATGGTATTTCTAATTTCAAAGAGAAAATTGCACTTTGTCTTTGTAAAAGGGCAAACTTGTTAATATAACTTTTTACATGGTTAATAAATTCAACTTCAGAGAAAAACAATATAGTATGTAAGAGGAGTACCGTGTTTTGATACTTGATTAACACTGACCTGTAATGGTCCTACACCCTTTCCACTTACACTATCATAGGTAAATAAGACTTTTATTCCTAAGTGTGAATTTTCACAGGAGGAGAAATCTGGCAGATAGAGATCCTCACCATCATCTGAACACTCGAACTGGACTTCCTTTTCTGAATTGACCAGTCAAAGAGAAAGGAAAAGAAAAAAATATGACCGGTTGAATTTAGAGTATCAAAGCATGGAGTACAGAATAATTTTGTTTTTAAAGAGGAACTATAAGTTGAATGGAAGAAAAAAGTTGTAGAAATGTTTTCTACGTAAAAATAGTAATAAAAATAAATATCTCAATAGGAACTGTGAACTCTCCAACACTGAATGGTAAAGGAAAGCCCAGGAGAAGAAAATATTTGGAAAATATAAGATACCACATTTCTACTATTGCAACATTGGGAAAAAGGCAGTCATCAACTATCATTATTAAAATCTAAATGGAATAAACAAATCAAAATGAAGACAAAATTGCAGGTTGAGGAAAGCAATTGGTAAATGGAAATGGCATCACAAAGGAAATCACAAATGCATAATCATCAGTGCTCTGGAAATTTCCAAGTTGCACACAGACAGATGGTAAAGAAATGACTGAATGACTGAACACGAACATTTAAAGTGACAAATGATTTTCTATGTTATGTTTTCAATGTGAACTGACCACCTGACTTTGGGTCAAATTCAAATGTTAGAAAATTAATTAATTCTCAAGAATGTTGAAGTGTTGATGAAGAATGTATGGCATCTGCCTTTGGAAGAGAAAGAAAAGGATTAAAGAAATAAAACATTTAGGTGGTACTCTGAAAATATAACAAACATCATTATGCACATATGAGGTTACATTCCAACAAGAATAAATTCCCTTGAAACAAAATACAATCAGTAGGAAAGAAAGGGAATTATTTTGTTTAGAAAGCTGGAAAGTAAAAATATCCTGCTGTTACTTTTCTTGCAAGATTTTTGTAACAAATTTGTACAAAACATTCATCTTGAATATATCTCAACACCTTATGATAGAAACACAGACATAATTAAAGCAGGAATAATTATGACCTTCATAAAAACTGCCCAACCACATTATTTTAGTCATCTGACATTCTATTTTCCATACCCCAATGTGAGTATTTTTCAGGCTATACACTTCAGCGTCCTTCACATATGCAGCATAATTATTTGGAAAAGCATTTGGTTTTTACAGACTTTTATGTCACCATGTTAGTTTGGAACTGTAGTAAATCAGAGAGAATTTAGACATTCAATTTCTACAGGAACTCTGTATTGTATAACAATATTATTTTTTCATGATGATTTCATATATAACCCAATAGAAGAAATACAGCTTTTCTTAGTATAAATGTTAGTCATCTTTGTATATTAAATAATTTCTATTTCAACCTGCAACTTTTATCAGAAACAACAAAAAAATAGAACTTGCAAAGACTTAGGAATCATATTTAACATTTAAAGATTATCCAGCATCTGAAAGTCAGAAATGGATTAGGGGCATCTGTTTAACTTACCTTTACTCCATCTGGCTTCTTCAACAAACTCTTGGCTGCTGTAAAATGAGAGTAAAATCAGTTTAGTGAGTTATGCATAGAAACCCACAGCCAGGCAACAGAGCAGTCAGGTTATTGTCTCCTTCTACCACCTTTGCTGAGTTATGGCCAACATATGGCAAGTTATCAAAGTCACACTGATGAGCACGAGCTTACAGAACATTGAAACACAGTATCACTTTTCTTGGTTTGCCACAGCAAATTTAGAACTAAAGAGTAGTTCATTGTATAGAATTGAATACATTGCCAGTTGTGTTTATCGGACTTTATTTCACTGTTGGTTGAGAAAAGGATACTGGAACTTTAACTGGACTATCCTTTTGTAATCCAGAAAGTTGATTTCAGTCTTTGAACATCAGCTGACAGATTGTATTACATGTTCATTCACACCACATGTATGGTGACCATGTCAGTTCTGCCATTTAAGCCCCTCTTTTTAGAGGTTGAAAACTCATTTGTAAAATTTGCTCTGGCTAAATAACATCTTCATTATATTCTTGAAGTCAGACAATTTGGTTTTACAAAAAATATTACTATGTAAATAAAATGGCATATTATTGGCCTAGAGCAAATTTTTAAAATGTTTAGCATATGATATTTAAAAAAATGGCACTATGTATTTTTTTATACTTTAAAATCAGAATACAAACAAAAGCCTTTACAATGAAAAAGTAAAAATAAAATTTGAGACAACATAAAAAAAATCTTCAACTAAATTAGAGAAATCCTAAAGCATATGGTCTTATATAAAACATTTTTCTTGGGGGGGAGCTTTTAACATTCCTTCTGTTACTAAACTTCTTGAGTATGTTAAAAGGTGAAGCAATCCTTTCAAAAAATCTACTAATGAACGTGTATATACACAGTGAACAGATAATATAACTGTCAATGACAATTAGTACACCAAGAATAGAACATTCACAAATATGAAGGACATGATATACACTTATACTTTCATTTAATATTAATTACATATACTTATTTAAGAGTATCAGAATAGAATTTGGCTTCAAAAATGGAAATACCTAGCTAGAACAGAACTTCATGAACACGTAATTTACTGACGTTCATTGATTTGGGGCATTATTTCAGTATCATATTGGCATACTTATAAATTTACTTAAAAGATACAAAAATGTTAATTTCATTTAGTCTTTAGCAACAAGGCTATTAATTTATTATTAATTGAGATTGCAAGAAATAGTTGCCTTAGCTATTATATTGTTTGCCTGGAGCTAAAAAGCAATATTAAATCAATCCTGTGGCAGTTAATAGGTTAGAAAGCAAACTCAGAATAATTGAAATTGCAATAGCAAGCAAAGAGAAGACAATGATTCAGGGTAAGCAGGGATTTGGCCTGGGAGATGCAGAAATGTCCCTTTTGGTTACTATTCACCTTACCTCACAAGAAATACATTCCACATAAAGGGAGAAAAGGAAAAATAAAAACAACTTTATAACCATATACTTATGGACAAATTACTTTAAAGAGTATGCCTGGCAATGAAGTAGAATGAATAAAATATTGAAAACTAAAATGCAGTATCAAGTACAAGATGTTGTAACTGGGTCTAATGTTATTCAGTTGATTTTGAAGTGATGGAGAAAAAAAAATTGCTCTTTGATGCTAAGACATTCAGAAACAATATAAAATCACATATTAGTCATGAATTTTTAGTTTACAGGATGATGAAAAGGAAACTGTGAGGTAAACAGAAAACTTCTATATATGGGTACATACATTAATCAAGGCCCAATCTATGTCCAAGATTGTATTTAACACTTTGACAAAATGTACAATTTTAAATCTGAAGATTTTTAAAAGTTTGGGTTAGGTTGACATTAACAATTTATACTACATAAATCATCCTACCTTTTAATGATTCACTAATTATTGGAGCACAGTGAAATTTATTTGAATATAGTATATATGAATTAATATTTAATGAGATGGCATTGAACTCACCCATATAACTGTCAACCATACTAATCAACTGTTTATGAAACAGGTAACTTGACAAAGGCAGCAACAAGGTTTTATTACACTAAACAAATTGGACAAAATACATACAACGGACCAACACAGTCCCTTAATTTGTAGCATTATTCATTGTACTACTGTGGTTGTTTAACAGCCTTTGAAAGGCCTCTTATGGTTTCCCACTAATTGTAACTAAATGCAAAGGTGGGGGAGGAAAATGACCGCCTAGTACAGTTGTAAATAATAAGCAGAAGTTGGTTGAAGAACACTTAGCAATGATATGATGGATTATTATCAGGTAACACTATAACACCCAGGCTAAGTATGTAGCAGAAAATAAAGAATTGAAAAAACAGCTGGATAATTTGGTGCTGCAGATCACTGTTATGTAAACAATACACAAACTAAAGTGGTAGTATTTTTGGCACTAACGCTTAACAAGTGTTCCAAGTCTAAAGGGCCAAAGGTTACCAAGTGCAGCTTAAATGCTGCTCCAGTCCTTCCCCCCACATAAGACTGCTTAGCATTGAACGAGATTTGACTTTTGGGAACATGGTCCTTTGAGATAATCTATCAAAGAAGAAGGTTGCAAAACTCAAGTAATTTCTTTGAGTAATATATACTTTATCTCAATTTTTAGAGAGTGACTCTTACAATAAAGAAATGGTTTGGTTTCTTTCTTTCTTTTTTTTTTTTTGTTGAGATGGAGTTTCACTCTTGTTGCCCAGGCTGGAGTGTAATGGTGCAATCTCAGCTCACCTCAACCTCTGCCTCCCAGGTTCAAGCGATTCTCCTGCCTCAGCCTCCTGGGTAGCTGAAAGTACAGGCATGTGCCACCATGCCTGGCTAATTTTGTATTTTTAGTAGAGACAGGGCTTCTCCATGTTGGTCAGGCTGGTCTTGAACTCCTGACCTCAGGTGATCCGCCTGCCTCGGCCTCCCAAAGTGCGGGGATTACAAGTGTGAGCCACCGTGCCCAGCCTTGGTTTGCTTTCTTTTAGCTTATTATTTAACAAACTTATTTTAACCATGGAATCATTTTGAGGAAGAATTTATTATGCACTGATAATACTGTATGTAAGATGCTCTGTAAATTCTTGGGTTAGATACCTTTGACAGTTGTAATCATTCTTATAGCATGCCAAGGAACTACTATACTTTTGAATGAACTTAGGTCTAAGAGAACTGGTTCCTCAATAATGGTCTTCTTTTAAAAATCTTGCATACTGGAATTCCCTATGAAAATGAGACCAAAAATAACTTATTCATAGTTATTACTTTATGAAATATCAATAGTAAATTCTAGGTGCGAAATGCTGAGATTGCAAATGAGGGAGTATTCATTTCCACAACTTGTACGCACCCCAGCATTTGACAGATGAGGCTAGTTCTGCACCAGCACTGACTGGTGGCCAGAGCTGCCAGAAGCACTCTTGTGAGGGGTGCAGTCACAGAGGCTCTGTGGCAGACAGCTCCCAGGCAGACTGCTAATGGCAGCCACAGGTGTAGAAGGAATCTGTGCCACACATTTGCCACCCCTGAACAATGAGGTTTTTCTAATTATTAGATTTTTAAAATTCCATAGACAAAAAAACAGAGACTACTTAAAAAGAAGACCAAAGGATAAGAAGTAGAGTAATCAATGCATGTACCTGAGAAATTCCTTGTAGCCAGCATAGTTGTCAAGATGGCACCCTGTCAAAAAAATTAGAACACAGAAGTCAATGTTGCCTATGCAAACCCTGGACCTAACAAATATACCGTCTTTGATAACAAAGCTTTTCCTGGCCCTACTTTCAGCTAGGGGATTTTTGATTGTTTGTTTTTGTTTTTTGGTTTCCTGAGAGTCAAAGGCCTTTGTCTTTCATGATGCTGGGACCGCCCTCATGTGCGGGCCAGATTCTCATTATCAAATTGCACAGCTGTTTTCCATTGAAGAAAGGACCCACAGCATGTGTTGCCAGAATGATTTGAGCTTTTCATCATAGTTTTGATTCTGGTATATATTCCATTTTCCCAAGACCCAAAAAAAGAATAATGAGAGTATTGAGGTCTACATAACTGAAAGTCTTTGCTAGAAGTTATTTTCCTCATATAGTATTTCACTTCTCAGTCTGCCAAATCTACTTCCCCACAAAAATGTAAAATTTCTTACCTTTAGTTTTCTTCTAGCATTAAATTTCTTCAAGCAGTCTACAGTTTCCTGTCTGTGCATCATGGAAGCAACAGTAGAACGTTGCTAGAAGAGGAGGAAAAAAAGTGACTTAATTGAGAATATGTAAAACATGCTAAATATAATATCCCTGACTTCATCAAATCTTTATTAATGGTGCTGCACCCTGCATGATCAACTTCTAAGTATTCAATGGCCAAACTTACCTAAAAATAAAATTTCAGTTTTGCCAAGATTACTTGTGACTGAGATGCAACATTGATGTACAGAAAATACAGAAATCAATATTAATAATTTCTCAAATTGTCTTTATTTCAGTGTATTCATCACATTTTGACTGGACTACCTTTCATTTACTTAGTGCCATATTTGTTCCCTTAGCAACTGACACATTAGGAAATTTACTGAAGTTTCCAGATCCCCCTCAAATTTCACACTATTTTTCTTAATATTTTAAAAATACATTCAGACTATTATGACCATTCTTTTATGCCACTAAAACTACTCTCAGCCACCAAACTTCATACTTGTTTCTAAAGTTGCCTAATGACAAATAATTGAATTTTGTTAAATCTTTTCTTCTGGGACACATTTAATTTTGGTGTTATTTTCTTAGCCTCATTCATGAGTATTGTCAATAATTGATATGGAGTATACTCATTCCTTTGCTACTGCAAGCAATGTTTATTTAGCAATCTAGGCTATTCAAAATTTGCTATTGAAAACTGCATTTTTGCCATCATACAATTCATTTGCTTAAACACCTTGAGTCAAAAATTCATTCTTTCTGAGTTTCCTCTTTTTTTTTTGCAAAATTATTTTAAATCCATAAACAATATATTAAAGGAGAGCTTATTTTTCATTTTAGCTCTTGAAGTTTTGGGAAATTTTACTTACACAGATCCATGGGTGTTTGAGTGCCTCTGAGGCTGTGATACGTTTGGCAGGGTTGATAGTAAGCATTTTATTGATGAGGTCTTTGGCTTCAGGAGTCACCGTGTCCCATTCCGGTGATGGAAACTTCAAAATTATAAATTTATAAAAAGTTTTAAAAACAGACACACAATCAAACAGGGCAGCATCAACTACATGAATCATTCCCTCAAGCAGTGAATTTCTTCATAAATTTACTTTTATATAAGTGAAATTGTATTTAAAATAAATAAAACCATTTAGACCTATTCTCCCCATCTATGCAGAAAACTACATATATTAAAGAGTATCTGATAAAGGACGACATATGTACTAAGCTGCTTGTCACATATAGTAAATATATTTTTTAAATTCAGAAGAAAAGAACTTAAGAATCTTCTGTTCTTCTCAAAGTATCTCTGCTTTGATCTGAAAATGACATTTTATACAATCTTTCTCACAAATGTTTGCAAAACTTAATAAAAGCAAAGAGGTTTGCCACATGTAGCAACGTCATCATGATATTATGCCAAGGTTCAAAATGAGTTATTATATACTTTCACAACTCATAAGCAGTAATAGCAGAGGTAATAAAACAGCTTCAATTGCTGTGCCAAAACTGACCCATTAATCATGGCTACTTGGAGTGCTGTAGTGGGAAGAATCTGAGACCTAAGGAGCTTCAGCAAGGTTTCATTTTAACCCATTAAGAAGTTTAATCTGCCCAATTACGAATTTCACCAAAGTATATGAAAGTAATCAAATCTGATAACTTCCCATTTTTTTTACATTAAAACTATATAAAAATGCTACTTTCCTTTTCCTTTCTTTATGTTATTTTTTGTACTGATAATCATTAATCTTACTTTTATATGATTAGCATATTTAGTAGAAATACGATCCTTCAATGGTTAAGGGGAATTTACTTAGTTAGTTGCAAAATGATGGAATATTAGGTTATTTTCCAATTCATGAATTTGTATAGACAATCTTGAAAAACAAAGCCATTGTCACTGTGTCATGGAATTAAATCAGTCTACTTTTAGTAGTTTTAAAACGGGGAATTTGTGACACATTGGCAAAATAAAACATGAGAAAAATGATATCGACTCTAATACCTGTACTTTTTGCCAGTTTAACAATGGTCATTTTTTAAATTTCTGAAGCTTGTCTTTGGAAGTTGTAAAAGCTTTCTAGCTATAAGGAACTACTAAAGAAACACACAAGGATGTTTCTTAATGTTGTACAGGTCTTCTGATAGCAAATGAGGGGTAGGTTCAGCCTGAAGAAAGGTGAACCTTTTCCTCGGTTTTCTAATTCTCATGAAAGCACTCCTTTAGCCTTACCAAGCAGTGCATTTGCAGGGCTGTGTCTGCCCAGAGAGGAGCTGGTTCTAGTCTGTAAACATGGTCAATGTGCTAGCTGTGGCCATGTAAATAATAATTTGTTTCAATTACTAGTCTGGGAATAATGGAATGCTTCAAAATTCAAATAATATACATTTTAAATTCTTGCTAACTGACACACACATCTATCTAAATACAAAATTTTATCAGAAATGGATTGAAGAGTTCATGAGACATGATAGAATACAGACATTTTATATTTTCTCTTCTCACTTTCACATTGCACTTTCAACTTGTGCACAAAAGGTGAACCTAGTATTGCTACTCTGTAGTTACTCTACTTAATAACACATGGAAAGCATGCCCAGACCCTGTACACGGATTTCCAAAGGGCTGTATGAGGGGAAACCAGAAGAAGTGGTAAATCATATTTATAAGAATATGCATCAAAGGAGAGCAAATGATATCATAAACACAAAGTTAAGCCATAAAGAGAAGTAGATAAAGCCTTCTGCCTTCCTCTTCAGATTCTGAACTTAATTCATGTGTGTGTGTGTGTGTGTATACATATATGTATATATATGTGTGTATATGAATGTGTGTATATATACACACACATATATACATATATACACACACATTCACTATATATATATACACACACACACATTCAATATATATTTTCTATTTTCAAACATTCTAATTATAAATTAAATATATTAGAATCATGACTTTCAAATTTTTCAAAAAAGCTTGCATAGTAGCCCATTACATAAACAGTACAAAAACAAAAACAAAAAAAAACCCAGAAACTGGTATAGTGGGATAATGTTCTATTTGATGTAGGATCACTATAAAATACTGTTGGTATATATTTGAAAATTATGTGACAGATATTTGAGAATATAATTCAACTAAATAGGCAACAATCATTTCTATAGCAGAAATATTTTAATTTTCATGTCTTCAAAATGTGCTAAGATCCAAATATTTTGAAAAAGTCCTTTAGAGACTTCACATTGTTTTTCTTTCAACCTTAGGAGCTAGTGAGCTAAAAGGAAACATAAAGTGAACACATATGCTGTATTTCTTTTTCTCTTTCTGTAAGAGAGAGGAAAATAATAAGAAAATGATCAAAATTGTGGTTAAAAGAACAATGCAAAATCTGACCCTTGGTCAAGAAACAAAAACAAATCTTCATCTAAAGTGACATAAATAGTTATTACATACATCATAAGCTCCAGCCTTGATCTGCTGATAGAGTCTGTGTTGGTCTTCATCCCAGAAGGGTGGATACCCCACCAGTAGAATATAGAGAATGACACCTGGAGGAGATTACAATGTTAACATAATTTAAGTCAAATAGACAATAATAAATTAAATGTGGCTGATTCACAATGATATTAAGCCACAATCATTAAAACAGAGAAAACGGGATTGTAGGAAAACTTCAGAGAGACGTGTTATATTCTACTCTAGAGCAGTCTTGGGCAGGTGAATGCTTTTCCTCCTACGCTCAAGAACTCTGACACCAAGAATTCTAAAGAGGCATGGTAGGGTAGCTCTAAAGATGAAACATACCTGTCATTTAGGGTGACATTCTTTGGCCTTCCTGAACTCTTGTCTATATAGGGTCTCCCTGAATTCTTATCTACATAGAGACTATGATTTTAGTCACTGTGAGGTTGAAGTTTAAAAACCAAACATGTTATCTATTTCTTCACAGTTGTTTTGATGGTAATTGGGACATTTTGTTGAGTGATGGTGCCCTGGTTATAAACTCACCTTCTAAATAGCCAGAATCCCTGCAAGTGTGGATACCACATAGAGACAAAACCCTTTTCTTTTCAGTAATATTAGTTTTCAAAATTTTCAAATTCTCAGTCAAACAGCTAAAGCAACAATACTACAGAAGAATATACATTCTGGGAGAGGAAAAAGGAAAAGAAGGGCAAAATTGCACAGAAAATTCAAAGTAATAAACAGTTGGCTGTAATACAATTTGCTAAATTTTTCACAAACTTGTAATTATTTGCAAGTTAATTAACATCTAATTTAACTTTTAAAGTTAAAAAAAGTTCTGTGTTCACAGTTTTAAAATCTCCCTTAAATCATATCTGCTGTCTAAATGTCTGAGATTGTTTTTTTACAATGGTTTTCTCTGTCATCAAATATTTCTCCTGCCACTTTTCAAGTATTTTGTTATCCTACTTAAGGCCTTTGGTTTCTTTCCTAGCTCATTATTCTGGAGGAAGACAGTCATTCCTCTGACCTCTTCTGTTTGCTTTTCTCTTGCTATGTTTCCTTTACCCTGGGAAACCTGAGAAAGAAGAGTAAGACAGGTGACACTTTGCCAGGTGTACTCTGAGACTTATTTTTTTTCCCTTATCCAAGGTGGTCTCTTGATCTCTGTACCAAGGAGACCTAACCCTGATCCTGTCCACCAGTCTGGACATCTCTATACAATAAACACTGTTGCACTGAAATATTTTTTAAGCAATGGTTTAATTATCATATAATTTTACAACCTGCTTCAGGAAGATACAGTTCATAAGCAGATTTTTCAAGTTATGTGAATCAATACAAGGATAAAAAATTTTAAACAACATTCTTAAGGAAAAAAAAAAAGACTATGAAGAAAATCACAATATACTGGTACCTCACCTTCATGACAAAAAAATAACTTTTCCATGTGTCTAATGAAAATGATGATAGTAATGATAATCATGAGTGTCTGTGCTTGTGTTCTCAGGATGCAAGTAGAAAAAAAGCTGTACCTGAGTACTTGTAACCCTCAGGTATATAAGGTTCAATGAGGTTAAGAAGAAACTTTGCTTTGCAACAGTGATAGCTCCCATTGAACATTTTCCTAATACACATCTGGAGTTAGACTGCTATAAAATTATAAAACAGTCTCACAACTGAGACATTCAGCATTCACAACATAGGCTGTTTGTCCTTATGAACTATGTCTGCAGTTGACTGTTGCTGTGGTGCTTCTCTGGGAAGAGGAAGCTCACAGTGGCTCATTCCATAAGAAAAGCAGCCAACATGTAAATAGTTATTTGATGGAGGAGTGTCTACAAAAACATGTACTTTAAACAAAATAATAGCATAAATGTGAAGATTTAAAAAAAAACACTTTCAGGCCCAAAGATATATATAAAAATAATAATAATAATAAACTATTATGGTACTATTGACTAGCTTGATGTGCAATTGTCAATGCCTATTTAAATAAACTGTTTTGTAAGTTTACTTCGACTTGATTATTAAACAAGCATCTAAGACCTTTTTGAGTTATGCTCTTTTGTAGTTCTATTTTCTGAATGCACAGAACAAGTATGAGACTCATGGCATAAGGATAATGTAATATTAATACATTTTATTATAGATAACATGTATTGAGAGTTATGTGTGCTTTAATGCATTATCTCATTTACTCCTTATACGATGCTATGAGGTAGATATTGTTATTATCTGCATTATATTATAGATGAAGAAACAGGCCGAGAGGTTTAGTAACTGTTTCAACCATAAGCAGGACAGACATAATGATGCTCTAAACATTCCCTGCAGCCGTTTTTTCTTTATCTATGAACTTTAGTAGGAATGGTAACTTCAAATTTAAAACTTTGTGTTGTCTAACTGAGAGACGTTGACTTAATAGCAAAATGGCCATTTGGTCCTATCTTAAATGTTCCTTGCAGCTACTTTTTCCTTTAGCTAGGTCCTCTAAACAGTTATTTTAAAAGTGTTGTTCCAGGCTGGGCGTGGTGGCTCATACCTGTAATCCAAGCACTTTGGGAGGCCAAGACAGATGGATCACCTGAGGTCAGGAGTTCAAGACCAGTCTGGCCAACATGGTGAAACCCCGTTTGTACTAAAAATGCAAAAAAATTAATTGAGATGATGGCACATGCCTACATTCTCAATTACTCGGGAAGCTGAGGCAGGAGAATCACTTGAACCCAGGAGGCGGAGGTTGCAGTGAGCCAAGATCATGCCACTGCATTTTACCAGCCTGGGTGACAGCCAGACTCTGTCTCAGAAAATAAAAATAAAAATAAAATGAAATAAAATAGGAGCATTTGTTGTTCTAGTGAGAGTTCTTGTCTCACAAGTAAGCCCAATTTACCTTTTTCTTATAAAACTAATATTTTACCTTTTTTTCTATGTCAGAGAAAAAAGAAAGGAAAAAAAAAAAAAAACACCCCCAGGTCTTTTTCTATGCCCATATAACTAAAGTACTAAATTCATTAAAAGCCAATGAAGAAGTCTTTTTTGTTTTTTTACAAGAACACTTCAGGGGTGATGATGTGACTTCTAAATGTTGGGTGTCTCTTATGACATTGGCAGCCTTTGGTGATCACTGCCTACATAATTTTACTGGGGTTGCAAAATAATGATGGGTAGGCATGGTGGCTCACACTTGCAATATCCCAGCACTTTGAGAGGCTGATGTTGGCTATCACTTGAGCCCAGGAGTTCAAGACCAGCCTCATTGACCTAACAAAAGATCCTGTCTCTTCAAAAAATTGAAAAACTTAGCTGTGTGTGGTGGAATGCACAGCTAATCTCAGCTACTTGGGAGGGTGAGGCGTGGGGATCATTTGAGCCCAGGAGTTCAAGGCTGCAGTGAGCCATGATCACATCACTGCATTCCAGCCTGGGTGACAGAGTGAGACTCGCAAACAAACAAAAACAAAATGATGATACTCTAATTATATCATGCCTTCTTTAGACTAAGAAAATTTTACTCCTTATCCAGTTGGTTGGCCTAAGATAAAGTTCACATAGGAAAGACAGATTAATTATTTTTTTATTTTCCTCTCTACTAGCCAGTTTTTAAAACAATGCATTGGCTCCCTAACATCCCCTAAAGGTTAGGACTTCTGTTGAATTTTGATTATCATTACCAACTCCCGGATTTAAACTTACTTGATATATTTCAATCTATTACTGTTATTTTTCTTATTGATTCTCAATTGCCCCATCTTTGGCCAGTGCCAACCTCCTTCAGGTGGCTCCTAAATCTGTTAATGTAAACTTGTGGTCCATAATAGTTTCCTTTGTGGTATGACAAGATGCTCCTGGATTATTTTGCTTTTTTCCTGCTCCAAGCTTGAAATCAGCTGCTACTACAAAAAGTTTTGGTTCCTTTTAATGGTAAATATTATCTAGAGACCAAGATTAAGCACTTTCATGTGCTCTCTTGGAGCTACAGGTTTCTTTGAAAACAGGAAAATGACTAGATATTCTGATGATATTAAACAATAATTATTACAAATTTTATTAAATATTAAATTTATTAAAAATTTAAAACTAATGTTACTGTCACATTTAGAGTCTTTTTCTTTTAGAGATATACTTTAAAATACTTACAGCTGTACTGATACAATGTTTGAATTTGGTTAAGATAATATTGGAGTGGGGAATGAAAGGGTAGAAATAGATGAAATAAGATTAGCCATCAGTTCATTATATTATTTTCTCCTTTTTAATGTTTCACATTTTCCATGACAAAAAGTTAAAACTATTTTTCATAGAGTTGGTTCCATATAAAGATAGATATTAAAACTAATTTTCATTATCTTTTTTTTGGCATATGAAAATTTATTACTACAGTGTTTTCGCCATTAAAATTTATGATCTTGGTCTTTCCTTCTTGCTTTTGTATAGGGCCAAAAGAGAGACACTGGCTACTTTGACAACTTTAAGGCAGACTCCACAAATATCACCAACAGCATGACCTCTGCGACCAAATCCAGCACCCAGAACTTCATCGTTTTCCTCAATAAAGTTCAAGCAACCATCATTGGGTACAAAGGCTGTAATTTTCTTGCCATTCTTAATCAGCTGGACCCTGACACATTTCCTAATGGCAGAATTTGGCTGCTTGGCTTCAACTCCCACTTTTTCTAGCACGATTGCTTTTGCATGAGAAGCACCTCCAAAAGGGTTAGCCTTCAGGGCTGTGCCCAGATGGGCTTTCTTTTACTGTTTATCATGCCACTTCTGGTCTTGTCAGTGGCTATGGAGCTTCCTAGCAGTATGAAGTTCATGACACTTGCCCATCCTGCCGGCATCACAGGCCTGAGCCTTCATTATCTTAGGTATATATCTGTGCTTGGGACATGCTAGAGATGTCCAGTTAATAAGAGTTTTGAGAAGCACTGATTACAATTAGGTAGAAAGACAACATCATCAAGAACATTCAAAATTGATTTTAATAGAAATTAATGTTAAAAAAGTTGTTAAACTTACAATCATGTTAATGCTATTCTTAGAAAAGGAGATATGAAGAAGGAATGCTAGACAACTC